CCCACCGTCTCGCATCCGTCCCCGTCGCGGGGCATTCAGCCCGTCGCCCGGCTGCCTCCAGGACGTCAACTACCTCACCATACCACCCACGACGAGCAACTTGGGGGAGACCAGAACACGCAGGTACGGGCGGGTTTTGCATACTCAAGGGGGAATGGTGCCTTACGGGCAGAGCGGGTAGACAAACCCACCCTTACCTGCGTGTTTTCGGAATCACTTGGTTGGTACGAGAGCCATTTAGCGTGGGAATCGCAATACAAAGTTATCGCACAGTTTTTGGTTAAAAGTATCTCAAAACCAGCCTCAGTGAAGTTTCACTTTTAATCAGTACACATAACAGATGGAAAGTTTCTGCTTTTCTTAAACAAATGATTGAAACACCTGATTTTACACTGCATGTCCTCTTTTAAAAAGTGTTTTTATATACATTCAGCTTGTATGTTTTACATTTCAGAGAACTCTGTGAAATCAAAAGATAATAGGGAGAGATAAGAGCTTTAAAGAGCACAAGAGCAATCCTACCAGCAATGACAACAAATCAAAGGAAGTAAAAAAAAAGTCATAGGAACGGAGAAAGCTTGATCCTTAATTAAGACCCGTCTGAAAAAAAAAAAAAACAACTTAAACTTGTTAGGCGAAATAAAGTTTTAAAAAGCTTTTCACTACCTTCCTGCAGATGGTGCACTTTCTGTTTTGTACAAGAGTATGTCTTTTCCAATTCTTTGAGCAGGGCTCGCACATTTGGACGTGCCCGCAAGGCACAAAGGCCATGATAGACCTTGCCTCTAGACAAATTACGCAGGTCCCTTCAACATTTGCCGGGCCAGCCGTTGGCCACGGTTGGGGATCGTTGCCTGGCGCGACTGGAAGCGCCCCCGCTGGCTGGAGAGGGTTGGGCTGCGGTTCCGGCTGGAGATCGTTATCCTGTGCAGGCTGCGGTTGGTTGGGCTGTGGTTCGGGCTGGAGATCGTTCTGCTGTGCAGGCTGCGGTTGGTTGGGCTGCGGTTCGGGCTGGAGGTTGGGCTGCGGTGCTACAGGGGGTGGGGCCTCGTCGTCCTCCTCCACACGCAGCAGGACGCGGCGGCCAGTGACGAAAAAGTCATGCAGAGTTACGTCTGCGTACTCTACATCCACTACTTCGTTGTCCTCAGCCGACCGCAGCCGAAAACCCCAGGGCGTCTCCTCCCGGGCCTCGACGGCGGTCCGGAGATTTTGGAGCAGGGTGTCTGACCGGAATAACCTGGACCACCGCTGTCCCGAGGGGGACACGAAGGCCACCTCGTAGACGTCGCCGTCGCCGTCGCCGACCTCGCCCAGTGCCTCCATCGCCGCGACGGCTTCAGCGCGCCGAGCAGCGAGTGCCTCCCGCAGCCGTTCGTCGGCAGCGGCGCGCTCGCGGTCCTCCCGCTCTGCTTCCTGGCGCAGCCGCTGACGCTCCTGGTCCACAGCGAGGCCAGCGTTGTATTCTTCCTCCTGCTCAGCGCGCACGCGGCGGAACTCAGCCAGGTTCGGATCTACAGCGACGGGCGCTGGTGCACGGCCTCCCAGCTGATCGGCACCGCCGATGTTGTCGTCCTCCTCGTCGTCGTCGATGACAATGACTGTGGAACAGTAACGGGTGTATCAGAGCGGACGCCGCAGTGTCCATGCGTTCTCCACAGATCTGCCGTTGTTGCACGGATGCATCGTATTGCAAGTTTGCCTACTTCCTTCGCCCGTAAGGCGCCATGGCGATGGCCCCTGCAGCCTAAGCGGGTATGCAATACTGGAAACGCAAGTGTGTGAGTGTCGCTCACCTGTAGGTGTGTGAATATCCATTCGTACATTTACGGTGGTTAAACGTGTGAATTTTCTAGGAAAAATTCACACCTATACCCATCCTAGTGTACAAATGGATATTCTCACACCTACAGGTGAGCGACATTCACACACTTGCGTTTCCAGTGTGATCCCGCTACACTGCGGCGTCCGCTCTGATGCATCCGGTACAGTGGGGTTATAACATAATACTTTATTCAAAACGTTCCAGTGCGATCGGTCGATGGTTTCTCTCCGCATAACCGATAGAAAGTGTTGCGTCGATAGACAGACATGTTCTCTGATTGCCTATCTTTCAGGGCTATGTAGGGTCCCACAGAGGGTCGACTCCTCCCTCCCACCCCCCAC